GACGTCAATCTGGCGGTTTTCAATTAATTTTTGGTGGGAATGACAAAAGGAATTTTTTTTTCCATGAGTGAGTGGGATTTGTAATAATTTGGTATATCGAAGAAACATTAAAGATATGTATTAATTTGTTAATAAAGTAACGCCCATAAAATTTGATGAATTTGCAAAAAAAAAAAAAAAACAAGTAAAAAAAACTGTAAGTTCGGCCGGGCTGAACTTTGAATACCCTCCACCATTTGGAACGAATTTGGCAACTTTCAAAAACAATAAAATCCGTTAAAACTTCTGTTAAAATCTTAAAAATACCGAATGTAGCTATTATATTAGGGTCTATACGACGACATGAACCTGCGTAGGTAACATTTGTCATAAGCCATTACAATATTCAAATGCGAAACTTAGACGAAGACGCGGACCTGCACAGACAATTTTCTGTCATAGGCTGTAGTATCCGTTACTTACTTCAAATACCAAATTTGAAACAATTCTGGTGAAATATGTCCATAAAATCATTAAAATACCGAATATCGGGAGGTACCGTTATATGGGGACTTTACGAAGAGGTGAACCTACACAGACAATTTTCTGTCTTAGGCTGTAGTATCGATTACGAACTTTAAATACCAAATTTGAAAAAATTCCGGTGAATAAATTCGCTAAAATCATGAAAATACCGAATATCGGGAGGTACCGTTATATGGGGGTTCTACGAAGAAGTGGACCTGCACAGACAATTTTCTGTCTTAGGCTGTAGTATCCATTACGAACTTCAAATACCAAAATTAAACTATTCCGATGAAAATATATGTGTATTTCGAGGTGTTACAAACGGAATGACAAACTTAATATACCCTCCATACTATGGTGGAGGGTATAAAAAAAAACCGCAGTGTTATATGGAAGTGAACTAAAAGTTTTATTGCAGCCAATTTATGGTGGAGGTTCCAAAGGAGCTGGCCAATATTGTCCAACTTCTCTCTGCATATGTCTGATATAAATATTACAACGTGCCATATTTGAGAGATGATATGTGATAATTTTTAGAGAATGTTGAAATGTGCGCGATGTTCCAGGTATAGTGGGTCGAAGTATTTCACTTCATCTAATTCTAATAAAAATATTGGGACCTGCAGAATGTAAAGAAAATTGTAAATTGACTTGTTTCGCAGGTTATGTAAGATGTAAGTTTTTAAATTTGTGATCGTCTGTGTGGGAGGCACCACAAGGGGTAGGTCGGTATCCATCATCTTCACATTATATCTTGTGTTAGTAGAAATATTGTATGTGTGAAATTTTAAGAGATTCGGATGCTTTTTTCACCTTTTATGAGAGATATAATTTTAAAAATTTTGACCGGTTGTGGTTCGATCTCTACCATTTTTGTGTGCCATGACTGAATGAAATCGGATGTTAATTTCGCGTTTAATGAGCTTCATGGATATTCAAAATTTCGAGCCTTTGTTTGAGAGGTACCAAAAGGAGTGGACCGATACATTCCATCTTTACACCAGACCTTGTGTTAATAGAAACAATAGAATGTGTGAAATGTGAAGAGAACCGGAAGCTTATTTCGGATTTTATAATAGTTTTGGCTATTCAAAACCTTGACCCTTTGTGGGGGAGGTACCAGAAGGAATGGACCGATCTCTACCATCTTTATTACAGATCTTGTGTTGATAGAAAGATTGAGATTTCGCGTTTTATGAGCTTCATGTATATTCAAAATTTCGACCTTTTGTGGAGGATTTACTAGAAGGAGTGGACCAATATATTCCATATTAACATCAGTCTTGAGTTTATTAAAATATTGGGATGTCTTACATCACATTTTATAAAAGTTCTAATTATTCAACATTTTGACCTTTTGTGGGGGAGGCACTTGATGGAATGGACCGATATTATCCATTCTTGCACTTGACCTAGTACTGACGCAAATATTAGGCTTTGCAAAGTTGGAGTAAAATTTGATTATTGTTTTTTTTTTTCTGTGCAAAAAAAATATATATTTTTTTTTTTTCAAAATTTCAACCTTAATTGGGGGAGGTACCAGAAGAAGTGAACCGATGTATTTCATCTTAACACCAGACCTAATGTTAATAAAATTATTTGGATGTGTGAAACTTAAAGAGATCACATTTATAAGAGTTGTAATTATTCAAAAGTTTAACCCTTTGTGGGTGAGGTACTTGATGGAGTGGACCGAAATTGTATATTTTCGCAACTGATCAGCACTGACACAAATATTAGGATTTGCAAAGTTGGAGCAAAACCGGATTATCGTTCCGCTTTCTATGCAGAAAATATATTTTTTGAAAATTTTGACCTTTAGTGGGAGAGGTACAAGAAGAAGTGGACCGATGTATTCCATCTTGGTACCAGATTATGGGCTGATTGAATTATTGGGATGTGTGAAAATTAAAGACAATCGGACTTTTACATCAAATTTTATAAGAGTCCTAAATCTTCAAAATGTTGACCATTGTGGGGGAGGTACTTAATGGAGTGGACCGATATTGTCCATTTTCAGACCAGACCTAGCACTGATGCAAAAATTAGGATTTGGAAAGTTGGAGTAAAATAGAATTATCCTCTTACTTTCCGTGCGGAAAATATATTTTTTTGAAAATTTCGACCTTTTTTGGTGGAGGTACATGAAGGAGTGGACCGATATAGCTCATCCCCGAAATCGATTTAAGTTTGACAATAATATCTCGATACACCAAGTTTGGACCAAATCAGATACTCCCTTCGACAGTTATCGTGAGCACCAGCCAGGCAGACAGACAGACGGAAGGACAGACGGGCATCGCTCAGATCGACTTCAAATGTCCTGAAACAGATTTGGTCCAAAGAGACCTAGGGTTTAAAACCCTTATTTCGATAAGGCACGTTTTGGCCGTATCAAATGACATATACCCTCTGTAGCCATATGGCTGAGGGTATAATAATAAAGAATGTTTCCTATTGATTGTCATATATTTACGCGATTTGTTAGATTTTTCTGGCAAGAGGACATTTCGAATTGATGAGAATTGTAAAAATCAGTCAAACGGTTCTAAATAATAACTAAATATAAATATATTTCTTTTACATATATATTGTAACTTTTTTTGTTGTGTATCCGATATATTGGCAGAATCACTGTAATGGTGAGAAATTACCTTTTAAATGTATTTATGATCCGGCCGGAAATATTCGTATTTTTTAACAATTAAAATATGGTTTATTATAACCGCTAAATATTATATGATGACCTAGGCTTCTGCCCAGACCTAAACTCCAGCCCCATGCAAAATTCTGTTTCGATTGGTTTAAAATTGTAGCCTGTAGAGCAACATCAAAAACGGGATTTTTTATGTTTTTGGCCCATTTCAACCACTAAATAATTTGCGATCATCTCCAAACACAATAAACTTCTATTCTGACCATAACCCCACCGCCATTTTCAATTTCGTGAGGATCGGCCCATAATTGCGAGCTGTAGCGTGATTACAAATATACATGGACAGACGGACGGACAAACATACATAGCAAGATCGACTCAGCTCGGCGAGATAGGAAGATCCATACATGACTTCCTATGTCGGGGACCAATATTTCGAGGTGTTACATAATTTTTGCACCAATCAAATCCCAATAAAAATAAAAATAACATTGGTGTAAAAAAACATTCACAACTATTGAAATTTATGAAGCAAAAATTGTAGAAAATTTACAAAACTTTTGAATTATTGTTAATTACTCAAAAAGTATTATAAGTCAAGGAATGAGAAAGAGAAATCAACAAAACAGTATATTGAGTTTATGAAACACTTAAATACTTCAAGCTATGCTTGGTCTTGCACAGAAAAATAGCACTAGTATCTGGCCCTTACCTCTTTGTAGAAAATTGTCTATTTTTTTCTAATACCGAAATTCAAATTCCAATGCGGGAAGTCAAATTTCACATACGTTGTTCTTGAAACTGAATTTTTGGTCAGATGTGACACTTTCTGGGCAATGTATTAAATTCTTGAAGTTTCTGGAACAGAGCACCTACTTAAAGAAGCTTCTAGAAATATATTTGTAACTTCCTTCCTTCACCGATTTTCTTGTCTTTTGTAGGAAAGATTATTACTGCCATCTTTCTTAGCCACATTGAAATTTTAGATTTTTTTTAATACGGAACAATTGGACCACTTTCATAACAGATATCAGTTTAACGGTGGACAAAATTTTGCAACAATAAAACATATTTGGTCTGTCTTAGAATCTACAGTTTTTGCACTTTTTTTCATATCATAAAGGGAAAATCTGTTATTGTTGCAAAAACTTTAACATCCTTGCAGTTCTGGAACAGACCAATTATTTGCATTTTAAATTTTTCACTTGGAAATTTATCAAATAAAAATAAAGCTCAAAAATGTCAAGGAATCTATTTTCTGTGAAAGTATTCGCATTTGAAACCATTGTCAAGTGTTGCTCTCTCATCAGTTACCTAAGGGCTCAATAACAGTATTTGTCTACTACAAACTTCCAATTCCACTTAACTTAAATCTTTTCGCCTTGTTACACTTTTTAAATCAAAATTTTAAATTGTAGCGTTTTTTGACCTTGAAAAGTTTGCAATACTGGAAGTAAATAACAAAAATTTTGCATTGTCGTTGTTGCTGGTGTTCTTGTTACCTTCCTGCATTACACAATTGAAGTTCTCTCCAACCAAAAGAAATACTCTCCCTAGCATTCATCTCCAAAGAACACCAAACACAACACCACACAACACAACAATGATCCCAACAATAAACAACGGGAGGCTAGAGTACAAAACAAGAACACAAAAACAACGACACATGGTTATGATGGAAGGTACTCTCCTACTTCCTTAGAATTACTCATTTGACAACAAAACAATGTCAACTTCTCTTTATTGTCGATTTGTTGTTGTTTGACTTTAAAATCAAGAAAATTCTTGTTGGAAATCCAACTTTTATGACAACATTTTTAAAGAAGACATTTATTACCTTTAAAATTCTTTCTTTCTTCTTCTCTCAGATCTCAAAGATAAAAGTAATTCCTTGTTATTATTATTGTTGCTGCTGCTATTGTTGTTTTGTTTAATATTCAATATTTGTTGTTACTCTTCTTCACTTTTCTTTGATGCTGTTGTTGTTTAAAACCAGAAATAACAAATCTCACTTTATTTGGCACTTTTTGTTATGACGACTTTTTTTGTTGTTGCATTTACGTTATGCCACCCGAAAAAAGAAAAAAGATTTATTTCAGGGTAATAATTCACTTCACTTGACTTTTTGTTGTTATTCCTTTTCCCTTTGCTATTTTTTATTCAGGTTTCCTTTTTATTATTATGATTATGTTTTGTTGTTATTCATTTATTTATTCCATTCGAGAGGGGAGGATAAACACATTCACTCACAAATTCACATTTGCAAAATATTATTTCTTATTTTCAATTATCTTTTCTTTTTCAAACACCACAAAAAATATTCTTGCATTTACCGTTATTTGGCGAGACCGAATCGTTTATTTCGTTTGTTTGTCACAGCGAAAGAGGACTCTGTGTTGCGAAGTTTTGCGTAGCGCGCAAAGAACCAACCACCCGTTGTTAGTGCAAGTCACCGTGCAACTGAAACGGAAACTCTAGAATCCATCAGTGGATTGGTTGGTCGGTTGGATGCCGACAGCAGTGGTGAATTTTATTCCGTTTCTCTGCTATGCTCATTTGATGACACCGCACTCCTCTGCAATTTTTGTGCCAGCAACACTTTCATTTATTTCTCCTTTTCTTGTTGTGTGCTCCAAAATGGAATGAAACGGATATTATGTGAGCAACTACCGTGTGTGTGTGTGCTGTTGTTTCGTTGCCCGAACACGTTCAATTGAATTTATGCGTAACGGAAAAATCAGTTGTATCCAACAATGCGACGCGCAACATTCACAGGTTTTATCCCTTCAACGAACGCGTAAAGACTAACAAAATTGCCCCATTCAATTCTCGTCATTCCTCTGATGGAGTCGGTCGGTGTTTGCGAGTGTTGTTATTTAGGTGAGTTCGTGTGTGTGTACGAACAACAACAGAGTGGTGAATTTTTGTTCTGTTCCACAGCAGCTGCTTGTGGCAGTCAGCAACTTGTGGTCGTTTGTTGTTTCTTTTAATTGACGGCAATTGCAACGAGTAATGTGCGTTACGGCCAGAGTTGCCAAGGTGGTGTTGAATTAAAGTCGTTGAATCCAATTGGAAATGATTGGTTCAATGGGAAATTATGAAGTCTGAATTCTAATTGGCAACAGATAGTGGTAAAATAGATGAAGTGATTGATTGACTGATTTAACGATTTTCAACGGCCAGACGAAGCGTCTGAAGCTAGAATCATGCAATTTTGGGTGAGGCTCACTCTTGGTCCGAAGGTTTCAGATAAGGCTGGGACTTTTTAGAAATTCGTAACGAAAGGATGCTAAAAGTAGTAAAATGTACTAAAAATCGAATACTTGAAACGGAATGAGAATGAATACTTGAAATGAGGAGCTGAGCAGAAATGTACTGAGTCATTGATGGAGTGCAGGATAGATATGCCAACGGGTTTTTGAAAATTCGAACCTTAAGATTATGAAAAGTTCTAAAATTGTACTAAACTTCTAAAATAGTTTGATTAGTATAAATAGTAGTTGGACAAACGGTATTAGCGAGAATTCTGAAATTTGGAATCACTGATGGAGTGTATGATAGATGTACCAAAGGGTTTTTGAAAATTCGCACTATAAGTGTACGAAAAGTACTAAATTTTACTACATTTGGTACCATTTCGTATGATGTGAACGGTTAGAGTAACAATCTTAAAATTTGGAATGGGAACCCAGTTCGAGGAGTAGGGTCTGTATAAGGGGGTAGTTTTGGAAGTGTGTACTCATGTATACGAAAAGTACTATGAGGTACTAAATTAAGTACAATTTAAATTCGGAAGTACGAATGGAGCTGGAGTTCCGAAATTTTAAATTAACATTACTTATGTGCTTGAGAAGCACTAAATGGTACTAAATTTGGTACAATTTCGATTTGGGTGGTGGATCTAATTTCTAAATTTCCGAACTCCAGCTCAATCGGAGTTCGAAAATTTAGAAATTAGATTACTGTTGCATTGTAGGACTGAGGAATGTAGCTATTTTTGCAAATTGGTATTTATGTGTACTAAATGGTACTAAATTTGGTACAATTTTAATTTTGGGAGAACCAATGGAGTTGGAATCCGGAAATTTGTGTTGTAGGACTCAGGTATGTGGGTAGTATTGAAAATTCGTACTTATGTGTACTAAATGGTACTAACATTAGTACAATTTACATTTTGGGAGAACCAATAGAGTTGCAATCCTGAAATTTGAAAATAAGATTACTATTATATTGTAGGACTGCGGTATGGAGGTAGTTTTGGAAATTCGTACTTATGTGTACTTAATGGTACTAAATTTGGTACATTTTAAATATTGGATGAACCAGTAGAGTTGGAATACGGAAAGAGTTCTATTTGACTGTATGTAAATGTAAAATGTACTAAATTTGATACAATTTGGATTTTGGTACACCTGAAATATGAAATTAAAATTACAGTTGAAGTGTAGGATTGGGTTATGTTGAAAGTTTAAAATTCTTACCTATATGTACTAAATTTGGTACAAATTGGAATTTTGATGAACCGATGGAGCTGGAATTCTAAAATTTGGAATGAGAGTCACAGTTCGAACTTTAAATTTGGAAAATGTTCTAAAATGTTACTAAACTTCTAAAATTGTATCATTTGGTATAATGTGAACATAAATAAATGGTACTAATTTAAGATCACTGTTGGTGCCTAGGATGGAGAGATGTAGATTGGCTTGGATATGCGTACGAAATGTTACTAAATTTGAAATTGGGTGAAGGGATAGATCTGGAATCCGGAAATTTGATATTGAGGTCTCTGTAGGTTTCTAGAAATTAGTTGTGGAGACGTTGAAATAGTTTAGGGCAGAAAAATTCGATGCGGGTCAATTATGCAATTGTTTAACTAAAGTCCTCCCCCATAAACTTCAATGTTAAAGATTTTGAATACTCGTTGTTTCTATTATTCTTTACAAAAAATGAATAACTTGAATAGATATCCATAAAAGAGGAAATATTTGCACGCTGCACAGATTTTCTTGAAAATTTCCAAATATTCTACAGCATCGCCGGAAGGTAACATAGGCTAAATATATTTTTAAAATTCCATTTGCAACTGGAGACAAAGCATCTGAATGGATTTACCTCTAAAACTTTAAAGTTTGCTTAAACATATTTTTTGATCGGCTATATGTAGATAGATACAGTCTGTAGATACAGATGCGAATTTGGAATGTGTAACGAAATTTGTTACGAACATAAATTTACCAAATTATATTGAAATCGCTGCTGATTTAAATATAGCTCCAATATATATTTTCGGCCAATTTCGTACATTTCATGCTTCAAATTCGCTATTTATACACAATTTCAATAAACTGATTTTGGTCTACAAAAAAATTCGTCCAATTATATTGAAATCGGGTCAACAAAAATATAAGCTCCAACAATACTCTGGGAGAATTCCGTATATGGACAAAAGGAACTGTCCCATTAATACAAATTTCACCATTTTTCTTTTAAATTTCAAATTTTATTTATTACCTTCATTTTCAAAAATATTATTAAGTTTTTTAACTGAATCGGATGGCTATCAAACTATTAGCATATTTTTTCTTCAGTTCCTCAAGACATTTTTCATCTTTTTGTCATAATTCCGTTTAATAAGCATCGTTTGGGGACATTTATATTAGTTGATCTTATTAACTCCCCTTTTTTGGTCGTTTCCTTATTCACCAACAACGCAATGACAATACTATTTCTTAACGATACAAACATCTCTTTACTCATCTAAAGAGCATCTCATTGTCTCTCATTGTTATTGTTCTCTCTTTGGTGGAACTAGAAAACTGTTCCCAATACAAATTGTTGCTTTTTCGGTGGCAACATAAACAAATGGAAAATCTGTGCTCAATGAACTCTTGTTTTGGCTGGCTGGCGCGTGTGTTGTGTGGATTGCATCAGGGGTGCTCAAAACCGTGTTCTAGAACATGAAGAGAAAAAAGAGATAATTTAAGAGAAAACTAAAATCCTGTTTTTCTTTATATTTTACGGTTCTATTTAATTGTTTTTAAACACGAATGTTTGCCAAAATAATTTATAAAACAAATGGATACAAAATATTTGTATAAATAATGACTTAACACTGTTTTGTTCTTGATTTAAATAAGCAAAGAGAAATTTGACTGAAAAGAGATATTTCTTTTTGAGCACCCCTGATTGCATCCAACTGGTTCGCCCTCACACCGCCTCATGTTGCTGCCGCTGTGGTGGTTCCATTAGTTTTGTTTTGGTTTTGTCAATTACACTTATTGTTTTGTTTTTACCTCTTTTGCTGGATTGCTTGTTGGACAGTTTTTTGTTTTGTTTTTGCGATGGGTCTTCTGTTTTTGTTTGACATTTTTTTTGGTAGGAGGTAAACCGGAGTGAGTTCAGTGAGCTGTATGTTGGTGATTAAGCGCAAGAGTTAGTAAATGCATCAGTTTGTTCTTCTCTTCTCTCTTTGTTTGTTGTGTTTTGTGTCTAAATTTTCTAAATGGCAACCAATTTGATATTTGCACGCATATCGATATGTTTGTTAAAGCATCCGTTCCCATATCCGGTTTCCGTAATTTCCTTGAGGCAAAGACAAAAATATCAACAACAAGAGTGTAGTAAGTCGATAGATTCTATCGAATTGAATGAAGAAGGTTTTATATGAGAGAGTACAAATACAACAAAACATATTTGCATGGATGTTTGATTGGATGTTCTAACATACAACCGAATTTATAAGCAAAATATTTGAATTGATTAAACAAGGTGTCCCTGAAGTAAAAGAGGAAAAATAGTGAACGATACATCAACCCCCAGGCAAACCGGCTTAAGTTGTTTTCTAGGGGTAAGATCAAACTGGGATTTTTTGAAAATTCGGACTAAAGGAAACATCTAAAGACTTGACATGTGCTATAGAAATACAATTTGGGAAGCGGTGTTGACTTATACCAACACCACTTGGAAATTAGTTTTGTTTTGAAAATGTATACTAAGTGTAACAACTTTCTTATATGGTTCTAAATTCGGAACAATTTGATTTTGGTATAACGGATGGAAATGAAATCAAAAATATTAATATTAGGGTCTCTGAATGTGGGTTGGATTTATATAAGGATTTGGGTTTGAAAATGCGTTCAGCAAGCGTACGAATGGTAGTAAGTGGTACCAAATTTTGTATTGCTTGAAATCTGAAATATTGCAAAAGGATAAGAGAATTAGTTGGAAGTCTAAAATTTGGTATTAGGATAAACTTTTGTGCGGTTTTGTTCATACAGGGTGAGATAAAAAAAAAACTGCAACAAAGTCAAATGCCATAATTATTTTTTTTTTTTAAATTATATTGAATGAAAGTTAAAAAATGTCGGAAATAACATCGAATTTTAGAATCAGTTTAGATTTGTTCGAATCGGTCACCTTTGGCACGAATTATGGCCTTCAAACGGCCAATGAAACCGTCTCACGCTGCCCGAATGTTGCTCTGCGGTATTTTGGGCCATTCCCGGCGACGCGCTTGATTGAGGTGAACGACACTTTGGTATTTTTTAGTGCCAACCTTGCTTTCCAAAATACTCCAGACACAATAGTCCAACGGATTGGTATCCGGAGATTTTGGTGGCCATTGGGCGCTGGAAATGAAGCGAGGAACCTCATTTTGTAACCATTCTTGGGTGGCGCGTGCTGAGTGCGATGGTGCTGAGTCCTGTTCTAATGTCCAAGGTCTGGGGCCAAAATGTTTGCGTGCCCAAGGCTTTAATACACCCTCCAGAATATTTTCGCGA